AAAGCGACGACGAAGCGGAGCTCAGCTGCTCGGCGGAGCCACGATTCACACTCACACGTTGCTGGCTGTTGGCTCGGGGGTTGGGGGGGGAGGACTGGGGGGGGAGGCGGTCGGATGTGGGGCTCGGTTCGCCCCGCTGCATCCCCGGCCCCAAGGAACGGAGGAGCGGCACCGGGAGCAGCCGCCCATCCCCGGCTCGGCGCTGCGCTTCTCCGGGACCGCCGGCTCCAGGCACGCGGTCCCGGTGTATTCGGGGGGGGTTCCGGTCCTGCTTGACCCCAGGCACTGCTCCCCGACCCCCTGTGCTTTCAGCCCCTCCCGTCCCATCCAGCCGGGCAGCTCTGTAGGGCTGGAGGAGGGAATGTGTGGGTCTGGCATCACCCCGACTCTGGGTACGGGGGAACGCACGGAGGGTCCCGGCCCTGAAGGAGACCTGCGGACAGCTGGGACCCCGCGGAGGATTTGGGGTGAGGGCTGTGCCTGCAGGATGGAGCAGAGTCCCAAACGAGAGCCCCCTCCTCAAAAAACCCGGCGCTGCCGCAGCCCCGCTCACCTCACCGCCCCTCCGACGCCGCCGGGTCTCGACCGGTCGCTCCGTTCTTACGGGGTTCACATGTTGGACGGCAGTTTGGGTTTCCCCGTTTCCACTTCAGGGCTGAAGGCCACGGAACCCTTACGGGAGGGAGCCGCCGCCGGGCGAGGCGCCGACACCGGGGACTGCGGGGTGGGAGCTGCGGCCGCGGGGCGGTTCGGTTGCGCCGGGGATCCCGAAGGCATCTGCTGCGGGTGTGGGACCCCCGGACCCGGCTTGGAGAGGAGTCCGGAGACCGAGGGGGAAGATCTACGGGCCAGATTCCCTGCAGATTTCCTGCCCTGCTGCAAGGAGCTCCCGTCTGCTTGCTGGGCGACTTTATTGGGCAAGGAGGGCTGAGAGGCAGAGAGGAGGCGGACGTCCTGCGTGAGCCGCCCGACGGGCAGCCCGTGGATGCTTCGGTGCTTCACCAACTGCTGAGGCTGCATCAGGAGGGAGATGTGGGAACCGGTGGCTCTGGATAGGCTGTAATGGAGAGTCCTCCCCGCCGGCGGCTCCGAGCTGGGGGAAGGGGCTCCCGCCGCCTGCTGCAGCAGAGAAGTGGAGACGGAAGCGCCGCGGGATTTGGAGAGCTGGGGTTGGGGTCCCGCAGCCGCAGCCGCCGCCGGGGGCTGCTTGGCCGTCATCTCCCCCTTCTGCCCCACACGTGGGGGGCCCTGAGCCCCGAGGCTCGGCCGCTGGACGCCGCTTTCCAGAGGCACCTGGGACTGCAGCATGGGAGAGGACGGAGAGGCGGCGGCGGGCGTCTGCAGGTGGGACGGAGCCCCGGATGGGGAGCTGACAGAGGAAGGCCGTGAGCCCCCCAAACTGGGCTGGGAGCGACGCACCGGTTTGGTCAGCAGCGTGGCTTCGGGAGAGAGGGGGCTGGAAATGGAGGAAGGAGGGAGGAAGATGTGAGCCTGCAGGCTGTGTTGGTGAGTCAGGGCGATGGCCACGTTGGTGGTGGCGGCGGCCGTTTGCAGAGGTGCGTGAACCAAAGGCTCCCAGATCACCGGTTTGCCGCTCAGTTCCCGACCCAACGTCATCTGCTGCAGCTCCTGGATGTTGTGAGCCACGTCCTGGTCGTGTTTCACGATCTGCTGGATCATCTCGGTGTTGATGGGCCCTGCGCTGTGCTCGGCGCGCTTGCGGAGCAGGATGGAGTTTTTCTTGCCTGGAGGAGAGGTGGTTGGTGTCAGTGGGACAAAGTGCTGCTATCTGAGGCACCATTTGGGGGTGACAGCGGGGAGGGGTGATGAATCTTCACTGGGTTTAGGGGTCGAGGCTTTGGGGAGGGTCCTGGCTTCAGCACGGAGGGAGAAGTAGGAGCAAAGCCTTGATCCCAAGGGCTGAATCTTGGGGCCGTGGTTCCATAACAGGAGAAGGGGGGATGAGGACGAGAGGTGGGACGATGCCAAGCAGCACAAATGTGAGCAGGGATGGCAGCCCAGCACAACCCAGCACAGCCCATCAGCACTGCCCTTATCCCACCTGGCAGCAAAGCAGACCCCTGCAAGTGGGCTCCAGCCCCCCTCCTCATCGCTGGACCCCTCTGGAGCAGACGTAGGGCTTTGGGGTTGCTCCTCACCTATGCGATCCAGGCGGTCCATGGCCACGGTCTCGAAGGCTCTGCGCATCATAGGGTATTCCTCCAGCACCTCGTTGAAGTTGTCCACAGACAAGGAATAGAGGCGGCAATAGGTGTCGGCTCGCACGCTGGCCGTCCGCCTGCCCCGAGTCAGCAGGCAGATCTCTGCAAAGAGAGATTTGGGGGGGTGAGGGGGAATGAGGGGCTCAGCACCGACCCAGCAGCCCCCCCTTCCTGCATGGAGACAGAGAGCGGAGCCAGGAGTTCAGACAGACACAGCCACAGGGTTCAGAATGCCTCCCATTTCCCTCTGCTCCCACATCCCATATTGTTGGAGAGGGTTCAGAGCCACGAAGATGAGCAGGGGGCTGCAGCACCTCCCTGCAAAGACAGGCTGAGGGAGCTGGGCTTGTTCAGCATGGAGAAGAGAAGGCTGCGGGGTGAATCACTGCAGCCTGCAGTACTAAAGGGAGCCCAAAAACAGGGGGGGAGTCAGCTCTTGGGAAGGGGAGATGAGAGCAGGACGAGGGGAAACGGTTGGAATTGAGGGAGGGCAGACTTCAGTTGGGTGTCAGGGGGAAATTCTTCACTATGAGAGTGGTGAGGTGCTGGAACAGCTGCCCAGAGAGGCTGTGGATGCCCCGTCCATCCCTGGAGGTGTTGGAGGCCAGGTTGGATGGGGCCCTGGGCAGCCTGGGCTGCTGTGAAATGTGGAGGTTGGTGGCTTTGTGTGCAGTGTGGGGTTGGAGCTCCGTGATCCTTGAGCTCCCTCCCAGCCCAAACCATTCTGTGATTCTGTGATCCCCTCACCCCCGAAGTAGGAGCCATCGGACAGTTTGGTCTCCTTGTTGCCCTTGGTGAGGATGCTGACCACCCCGTGCTGGATG